GCCCCCCCCCCCTTTCTGACATGAGCTAGCCTGCGTTAACTAAAATAACCTATTGTAATCTATTTGTTACAACAAATGTCCTTATTACCATTATTGTTATATATAATAATGTGGTAGGATCACATTGTCATTTGTCTTCTAATATCTATTTTATATTCATGTGATCTGGATTTATTCAAGTTTGTCACTAAAACCACAGATTACGAGTGAACGCTCCATGATAACGTTAGCTTCTCATTTTCACTGAGCAGAGCCTGAACGCATCATAATGTAACTGAAATGAACCTCCGGAATTAAAGACAACCTTTTTTTTGTTTTTTTATTGTGTATTTTTGTGTGTGTGTGTGTGTGTGTGTGTGTTTGCTGAGTCAGCAGTCAGGAAGCTCCTCTGTGTCATCGCTGGTTTCCTCTCCTCCCTCTTTTCTCTCCACTCAGCTAAATCCTCTTCCTCTTCTCCGGCGTCAGGGTGGGGGAGTTTGTTCGTCCAGGTGTGTGTTGCAATATTTGCCGGATCTTTCCTGCTTGTTGCCGTAATGGTGACCGGGGCCTCTTGGTGTGAGGAGCGGGGGGGGGGGACCTCACCAGACTCCATTGACAGAACCAGTGATTTTACAGGAGTCGCTGGTCTACTGCTGCTCCGGCCCTCGTCCGTTTGTGTGACTCTGGTGTTTTCCACCAGAAGGAGGCCGAAGCAGAGCAGCTGCTCCTTTGTTCTGTCCGGTTAAGTCAGCGTTGTTATCAACAGAGTCTGGTGACTAGAATCTTTGAGGAGTCGAACAAACAGCAGAGTGTTGTTTTACTTTGAAATATTGAAACATTTAACATTAAGTACAGAAGACAGCGAACAAACGACCTGTGAATACAGGATTCGTCTCGACGATTTGTCTGTGTGCTGATCCGCACTCGTTTGTGCGATGCCGCTGTGGTCTGGGGTTCGCTGCCTTGCCGGAGGGCATTTCGCTGCTGCGATAGAGTTTCAGTAAGAGTTGAACTCTGACCTGGTCGAGCAAACACTCCTTTTATGTCAGCGAGTCCGGATCGTACTGGAGAGTGAGGCCGTTCTTTATTTCTTTTTTCATTAAATTTGTATTGTGCTTCATTTAAATAAATCATTTATTTTATTTAATGTATTTTTTTTTTCGCCTAACTCCATTGTTTTTTCAATTTCCATTTTTCTTCAAACATTTTCTATTACTTTTAACTTTAAAACTGTAATTTTCAATTGCTTTTTAAATATATAATTATTTATTTAATCATTTTTAATTTATTTGAAATCTATTTTACTTTGTGTGTGTGTGTGTGTGTGTGTGTGTGTGTGTGTGTGTGTGTGTAGTCAGAACCAGCCAGTCTCGCTGCTGAAGACATCAGCAGCAACTCAAATGGACCCAAACCAGATTTGCTGTGCGATGACGACCCGGAAGATCTGTTTGCAGGTACACACACACACACGCACGCACGCACACGTGTACACACACGTGTGCAAACGCCATCCCCCTTCTCTGTGTCCCAGAGGCCACGGAGGAGGTGTCCTAGGACAGCCCCGAGAGAGACGTCCTGCTTTCAGACGGTCCCGTCGCTCGCCATCCACCCGTGACTCCCCGCTGCTCCGCCATCACCGCGGCGCTTCTGCCACAAGAAATGGTTACACACTCTTCCTTCCGCGAGTTGAGGCGCAGAAACGCACCCAGACCCACCACCTTTTTTTCTCCCCTGACGCCCTGGCACGCCTGTTATTTGATTTTAATACTGGAGAAGAAACCAGTTATTTTACATTCTGCTTTTCTCAGTTTCTGTTTCATGTGCTTTTATTTTGGAAGCTTTACTGCAGGTAAAGTACTAATACCACAATGTTTCAAAGTACTGTGTTCCAAATAAAAGTAACAGCTTATTGTACAAAATGTCGCTCATCTGAATAATACTTATAATACTACTAATTCTAACCTGGTAAATGTCTGTCATGTAGACACACTGTAAACGTGTCAATAGATCTAAAACTAGAAAATGCATTTCCTGCTGAAAATGCGTTGGAATGCAAAAAGCTGAAAGCTGAAATGAACTTCAGAAAATTGCTGAAAATACAGAAAGTTGAAGGGAATTTTAATACATTTGCTTAAATTACAGATATTAGAAAAGCTGAAATTTATTTGAAATAGCTGAAAATACAGAAATGGGAGAAGCTGAAAGGAATTTCAATAGATTTGCTGAAAACAGCTGAAAGAAATTTGAAAAATTGCAAAAAAATACAGAAATGAATATTAAAACATTGCTGTTATTACAGGCATAATAAAAGCTGAAATTATTTGAAACTGCTGAAAATACAGAAATGTGAGAAGCTAAATTTCAATAGAATTTCTAAAAAATGAAAAAAAGTTGCAGGAGCTTAAATTAATTAAAAAAATACAGAAATAACAAAAGCTGAGATGAATAAAAAGAGGTTTTAAATTGTTTGTAGTAATGTTAGTAGTAGTATTAGTTACAGTTTTAATTGTGGTATTCGTAGTACTAGCAGTAGAAGAAGTAATAGTAGGTTTAGTATCAATAGCAGTAGAACTAGCTGTAATACTATTAGCCATAGTAGTATTTTTAATAACATTAGTAGTAGTATTTATGTGGTGTTACTAGTAGTATGGTAGTAGAAGTATCAGTTGTAGTAGCACTACTAGAAGTACTAGTAATATTCGTAGTGGTTGTAGTAGTATTTGAAAGAGCAATACGTATTTCAACAAAACCGCTTCATTCTGAGGTTCATCATATTGGTCTGTTGACAGAAAGCATAGCTGCGTCATGTGACTCCACTAATCAGGTCATAGGAGCAGCTGTGAGTCACAGACAGAGATACTGCAGCGTGTGTGTGGGTAACCACGGCAACGGCGCACCTGGGCTCATTAACGAGCTGCTGAACAGGGCAGACACGGGACAGCGAGTTACACAGGATAGCATAGCGCCATGTTAGCGCCATGTGAAGGAGTTGAAAGGTGTGACGGAAGAAATAGAAGAAGATGGCGTAATAAAGAATAGAAGAACAATGCTTAATGCATTCCAAGTATTAGCTGATTAATCGCATATTTTGAAAGTCATTAATGGTGATTAATGAATGTTGTTGTTACAATGTTGTTTTTAATAAATGTTTGTTTTTCTTCTAAAGACTTAAAACTTAAAACTTTGGAAATAAACTTTAGAAAGTGTGTATTTTAGACAGTTTTTTTTAATTATTACTGTTATTTCAAACACAAAACTACACATGTGATCATCTTGGAGGCAGAACTCCACCTGGTGGAATGTGTTGAATTAGCGACTCTTCCTGTCGTCCTCGTGCTCTTTGCTCTCAACTCCATCATTTAACGTGCTTGAAGTCCAACAATGTCCCACATTCAGCAGGACGTTTTCAAACCAGGTCCTTTAGGGACACGGTGGTCCTCTGCAGACTGTGTGCCGCGGAACGTTAGATGTAGAGATGGAAGTAGCATAGCAGCTAGCGTAGCCCAGCAAGTTTTACTTGCGGTCCTGGAAGTAAACAAACGTACGTTAACTACATTAAAGTATTTGGTTTCATTAATCTCGGCCACATTGTTCCTGCTTGCAGGTGGAAGAAGAGGAAGGAGGCGATTCCTTCGACATGCAGATATCAGTGTCCGACCCCGAGAAAGTGGGTGAGTACACACGGCCTCCACCTGTACCACCTCGCTGTAACACTGCAGTACTCTGGACACAAACTACATTACCCATCAGCCCCCTCTCCTCCTGGACCACTAACGCAGTGTTTGTGTTCATCTGAGCAGGAATGTATAAGTACTGAAAACACACTTTCCTGTTTCTTGTTCTTCTGAGTTTGTGTCCTTATGGTTGAATGAACTTATTGTAAGTCGCTTTGGATAAAAGCGTCAGATAAATGTCATGTGATGTGATGTGATGTGATACTAGCGCTGTCAGCATTAACGCATTAGTCTATGTGATTGATGTGGGTTACCCTGCGCGTCTGCAGAGGACAACCACTGTGTCCCTAAAGGACTGAGAACGTTTTGTGGTGTTTCTGGTCTTTTTTTTGCCAATCGGCTGAAAACTGAAACAACAACAACAACAACTAACCGTCGCACAAAATCTAACTGTTATTGTGCACAATCGTGTGTGTGTGTGTGTTCCAGGTGACGGGATGAACGCCTACATGGCCTACAAAGTGTCCATCAAGGTGAGAGCAGCTGAAACAGAAGGTTTGTCCCCATGGGGACATGTCCTCTCCATCCTTTTTACTAGTTGTGTGAGCTATGACTCGTCTCTATGTGATGTCTTCTAACCTCCTACTGTCCCCTTATGTCCTTTCTTACAGACTTCAATGTCTCTGTTTAAGAGTCATGAGTTCTCCGTAAAAAGACGTTTCAGTGACTTTCTGGGTCTGCACAGCAAACTGGCCTCCAAGTACCTGCACGTGGGCTACGTCGTCCCCCCCGCGCCGGAGAAAAGCATTGTGGGTAAGCGAAGCCAGCTGAGGCGGTTGTCCCACACGCGGGTCCATTTGTCCGAGGATCTTTGTCTCCTTAAGGAATGAAGTTAAGTTAAGCAAAGACTACAAAATAAAAGACGCTGTGTGTCCCCCGTGTCCCCTCTGTGGACGTGTCCCCTCTGTGGACGTGTCCCCTCTGCAGGGATGACCAAGGTGAAGGTGGGGAAGGAGGACCAGTCGTCCAATGACTTCGTGGAGAAGAGGCGGTCGTCTCTGGAGAGGTACGAGTACGCAAACAAACGACCAGGCCGTCCCCCGCGATGCATTCAGGGACAGTTGGGAACTTGTTTTCTTATCAAAATATGTAAAATCAACAAGTAAAAAGGTGATTTAATATTTTTTCTGGCACATTTGCAACTGTGTGTGTGTGTGTGTGTGTGTGTGTGTGTGTGTGTGTGTGTGTGTGTGTGTGGTAAAGATCAACCTGGTCAGGACTTTACAGGCCGAAAGGTTGAACCACAAATATTAGATACGTCATTATTACAACACGTGTGTTTAAAAGCGAGGAGGTGGGCGGGGCTGGCATTCTGCTGGCCTTTTCCTGATGGCGTTTGATTGACAGGAAGGTCAGCCAGTGACAGCTGATGGAGCTCAGAGCCGTAGAACTCCACACTGATGGACACACACACACAACATCCACTATTTCTGATTGTTCAGCTTTTCTAAACACTCTCAGCTGTCACATTTGCTGTTATGCAAAGTATTATGAACAAAGTATTTGAGTACTACTGCGGTAATGGGAGGTGCGCTGCGTACTTCTCTCTGCAGGTACCTGATGAGGACGGTGAAGCACCCCGTCCTGCTGAAGGATCCCGACGTGCTGCAGTTCCTGGAGAGTTCGGAGGTAAAGAGACTGTTTTTTACCAGGAGAGCCTGAACGCGTCTGATCAGGTGACCCTGGTTCCTTCCTCCCGCTGGCCGTCTGTCACAAAGTGACTCGTTGTTCTTCGGAGGGTCAGCAGGTCACGGGCCGTTCACCCTCTGGGGACCGCGGATGTCCTCCGTGACGTCTTTTCGGGGGGGCGGATGTCTCACTCTGATCCAAAAACAGAAACCCAACAAAGAGAAAACAAACACGGCGGAAAACTGCCTCTGGGGTTAAGAGCTTCCTCGTTCCCCTCTAACATCTCGTCCTAAGCCCCCCAACACACACACACACACACACACACACACACACACACACACACACACACACACACACACACACACACTGGTGGGATTGAACAAATGGCCCGATGTCACAGATTTAACAGACGAATCACTCGGACGCCTGACCGAGCGTGTCGGTCCGCTTAATGAAACACAAACCCCCCCCCCCCGGGACACGGACGGCCGGCTAAATGAGATTTGTAAAAGGGGGTTGGGGAGACCTGGGGCCAGGGGGGGGGGGGGG